GTGAAATTTAATTAAATTATATATTAATATAATAAGTCTTTAATTTATTATGTTCTTAATAAGACCCTTATTTCTCTTCACAATCCTTTATTTGTATTTAATGCATTATTATACAGATATATAAAATTTTTGTTAAAAAATATATTTTTTTATCATAAATTACATATTATTATTCATGTGTTAGTGAACAATATAACTTTTAATCAACAATATAACTATCTTTCCAATACCAGCTGTTATTTACATACATATATTTATTGAAAAGAAACACAATTTGCCACAATCCCGGGCAATAAGCATTAGAGCTAAAATTATCCACTCAAATAATAATATATACATACAAGAAAAATAAATGTAAGTATTCAAGAATAAATAGAATTCTTCTAAAGTTTATCCCCACTTATATACAATAATCATTATATTAAATGAAATTTAAAATCTACATACCAACAGATAATACTCATTATACCCAACTGACTAACAAACTAAAATCAGAATTTAGAAAATATAAAATTCAAAATTTACTAAATTTTACTGGAAAACTTACACCTACCGACAAATCACTGTGGACGACGACTAAACGGCTCCTGAAATTTAAAGACTTTAATCATCCACTTCTTACTGAAGATCAAACTTGGTCCAAATCTGATGAAGAAAAATCCCAAATTTTTGCTCATCATCTCTTCAAAACTTTTAATCCACATCCTGATATCTTTAATCCAAATCAGCTTGAATGCATTATTGAAACAGAACTGGATATTCCACTCCAAATGACTCCTCCTCCTAAAGCATTTCATCCTTCAGAAATATCCAATATTATTCACAGATTACCCTCCCGCAAAGCTCCTGGCCACGACCTAATCACTTCCCACATTCTTAAGCTACTTCCTCGAAAAGCCATTCTATTCCTTACTTACATTTATAACGCCGTACTCCGTTCCACATATTTTTCTGACCCTTGGAAACTATCTGTAGTCAAAATGATACATAAACCCAAAAAGCCACCAGAATACCCATCCTCTTACCGTCCTATCTCTCTTTTACCCATCATGGGCAAAATCCTGGAGAAGCTCATCTTAAAACGCCTGTATCCCATCCTAGATTCTAACCACATAATCCCTGATCACCAATTTGGATTCCGCACATCCCATTCCACTATCCAGCAATGTCATCGTGTGGTAGACGTCGTCTCCTCTGCATTGGAGCGCGGAATGTATTGCACTGGAGTTTTTCTCGACGTTGAACAGGCGTTTGATCGAGTCTGGCATCCGGGATTGCTTTACAAACTCCGTAAATTCCTTCCCCCTACATATTTTCTTATCATCAGTTCCTATCTTACTGATAGGCACTTCAAAGTAAATCACAATAATACCTATTCATCCCTCTTTTCTCAATCTGCCGGAGTTCCTCAAGGTAGTATCCTTGGTCCTATCCTTTACACAGTTTATACAGCTGACATCCCAACCCATCCTAACACTGTTATTACCACGTATGCCGATGATACATGTGTCCTATCCGTTAATAATGACCCAACCATTGCATCCCAAACTCTTCAATCACACATCACAAGCCTTGAAGAATGGTGTCAAAACTGGAGGATTAAAATAAATTCTAATAAATCCCATCAAATCACCTTTACCCTTCGACGTAAACCTATGACCTCATGTCCCACAGTATCCTTTAATAATACCCCACTTATCCCTGTTGAACAAATCCGATACCTTGGACTTCACTTGGACAAACGTCTAACTTGGAATCCTCATACCAGACTGAAACGACAAGAAACCGCTCGACGTTTCCGACTACTCCAACACTTACTAGACAAACGCTCTAAACTTCCCCTTAATTACAAAAGACTCATATACTTGACTATAATAAGACCTATTTGGACTTACGGAGTTGAGCTATGGGGCTCCACTAAACCATCGAATTCCTCTCGCATCCAATCCTTACAATCCAAAATCCTTCGTAAAATCCTCAATGCTCCTTACTTTGTCACTAATAAAATAATCCATAAAGACCTCAATGTTCCATATGTTTCCGATTTGGCCAAATCCAGATACCTATCCTTCCATAATAAACTTCATAACCATCCGAATCCTTTTGTTTCTAACCTTGCTTCCTCTTCGATTCCTGATAACCCTCCGAGGCGTCTGAAAAGAAGATGGCCTCGTGATCTTCTCATGTAGATAAATTATTAGAGTGCTACCAGTGGGTAGTTTCTCAACAAGCGTGTTTCATGTAATAATATTTCTCTGTACAAATTTACTTGATGTATTTATACTAATACAGTTGTAAATATCATAATAAAAGTTAAAAAAAAAAAATCTACATAAAAAGAAAAATTCATAGCCAAGAAAAAGAAGAGAAATATGTTAAGACAATTTCTTAAAAAAATGTTGATTGTTGTTGCTTTTGGTTTAATTGCATATAAACAATTTTTCTAAAAACTGAAAAAAAAATCCATTCATATGAATAATAAAAACACTTTAATACTTTATAATATTGATGAATATAATAGATAACTGATACCTAATTTGTTGCCAATATCCCTTACAGAAGGAGAGAGTCCAGATTTTTATTTTCCTAAACAGTTCGCTCAGAGGAAGAGTAACCCCTGGGGCTTTTTCTCTTTTACAGTTATTAGATTTGGAGCAACACCTGACTTAATTCACTTATCAGACACATTACTTAAGCCGTCAAGAAATAGAATTAATGGCGGCTGAAAAATCGAATCCGAAGTGATTTCCCCCGCCTACCCAACAACCCAGAAATAATTAATTTAGACTAAAATAAAAATTAAAAGCCTAAAAAAAAAAAAGAATGACCTCATTCGACGGGATATTCTTCTTCATTTTTATTTCCAAAAAACCTTGGACCTCATTCAGAATTAAGCAGTTAATTGTCTTTGAGAATAAATAATGTTGAGAGAGTACTTGACTTATCAACTAAAGTTCCATAAATATTGCAATAGTTTATTGGAATTAAAATTAATTTTACAAATATTTAGTTCGAATACTAAGTAAAAATAGTGACTTATTTATTCATAATTTAATTAATCAGTTTTCCGTATAATAAAACTTGTATGCAGGTTGAGGTCAAATCAACAAATATATAAGGAAACAAGAGATCTAGAAACTGACGCTAGAGTGGGAAGGCTGAGGTTCTATGGCCATATGATGAGGATGAATCCTGAAAGACTTAACCATAAAATCTTTCAGCGCATCCACAGTCATAGGAATTTTAGGGGGTATTTTTAACAGCTTAAGGGTGATATGGACCAAGTGGGGCTAAGAGACCAAGATTGTTTGGACAGAGATGAGTACAGGGAGGAGCTCATGGGAATAACGGTTCTTGCAGGAAAGAAGCGCTCTAAAAAGTGTGTTGCGTGGTCTGAGGAGACAAAACGTAAGCACGCGGAGCTCATGAGGGGCATATGGGAGAAGAGGAGACAGATGAAGAGGATGCATTCAATTCGTGAGAAAAAAAACTTGTATGCAAAAAAAATGGAGTAAATTTTAAAACATTCAGAAATAACATGATGTCTCAGCAAACCACTTATACGAAACCTGATTTTCTAAAAAGCCCCATATTTCATAAAATATTACTTTATCTTATTTTCTAGCATCTCATTTAACACTTAATATTATTATTATATTTAATAAGAATACTGAAGTTTTCTATATAGTTAATTTTTAAAATTTCTTTAAACAATAAAAAATTGGAATTCTTAAAATCTGCAAAGTATTTTTTCAAGCAAGTCTGTACTCATTTCCAGGTAGGGATTAAATGGTCTATGATGAAGTTAAAAATTCTATTGCTCGTTATAATAGGATGTAAGGGTTGAAGGCGGAATTAAGTATATGGGCTAACGGGTTTATGCTGTAAGTCAGTCTCTAGTGTTTTTTCCTAGTATAGGTAAAGTCCGAAATAACGCACTTTTTGAGATATTGGAATATGAACGTTGTTGAAGTATACTTGTTGAAGTATGAAGTATGAAGTATGAAGTATAATTGTTGAAGTATGGGAATGATCAATTTTTAAGTGTAAAGACAATTAATACAATTTTCGTTCTATTAATTTTTACTTTCCGCCTTGTAGTCCAATTAAAAATTCATCAGAATAATTAGGTTTGATAAAATATGCGATTACAGGTTTTTAGTGAGATATATTTAGATAACATTAGATTTGTGAATCAATCTTATCATTTTTATGTTAGCTTGGATAAGTCAGTCAAATTAGTAATGGTGCAATGACTTTAGCTTCAATATTTGATCATTTCCGGAATGTCCCTTTCTGTGGTATTAAAAAAGAGCGAAATAATCATTCGATGAATTATTGAAGGAAGCTAGTCGACTGTTCTACATACGCAGGAGGCATTTAAAAAAAATATATATATATATTATTATTTTTTTTTTATTTGTGCTAACGTTTCAACCGAAACATGTGGGTCATCATCAGGGCGTGGTTCGAGCACTGAAGGTTTTCAAGTACTCAGTACTAAGTACTTGAAAGCCTTAGGTTGAAACGTTGGCACAAACAAAAAAAATGTTAAAATTTTTTTTTAAAAATTACTGGATCCTGGATATTTATCACCCATGAAATAATCATTCAAATATTTTAATCATTTGGTGTTTATGTACTATTGACAGGAAATATAATCGTATGATAAAGGGTACAATCAGGAAAACATTATGTATGGTATTCACTCATGCGTGTTATTTTTTACCAACTCCTGATAATGATGACAACTTATGCCGAAACATAGGTACTCACTTACGGTACAGCAATAAATATCATCTTTCCCTCAATGTCCGAAAACCGCCTTCTCCTCGTATGAAATTATCATTTTTTTATTAAAGGACTCTTGAATCTTTTTAAATTTAAAGGAAAATGGTTTGAGGATTATCTGTCTTTATTATCAAAGCGGTTGTTGCACTGTGCTGATAGGGTTTCCTCCTCAACATGGACAAAGTGGACCTCCTCTCACTATGATCCTGATGAGAGAGACCCTAGAAGGACTTAGCCCTCAGCTGGCCGAATATCGAGTTATCCCGGAGGGGACAAATCTTATTAACCATTCTGGCTGCATTAGCGTCGGGAGCCTGCGGTCCAAGTCAGGAGCTAACTCAGGTAACCCGGACTAATGGTGACCCCCTCCCCTCAGGTAACCCGAACCTCTTCCAAATATAGGCTATACCTCATCCAATAGCTCTCCTCTCCTCCTAACTAGTCCTGAAGGTCCTGGCTCTGCAATTAGTGCTCACGGTCAGGCGGTCGTCTTCGATTAGTAGGGAACGGTCCTCGGAGCTGAGGGTATCCTCCCGCTGTCATCGCCGTAATGAAGGAGGGGGCTGCGGTCTGGGTCACTGGATAGAGTTGAGGAATATAGTAACAGGCACAGAACAGAACCTGATAACGGTTACGTCATTCTGTATCAAGTAACGAAAACGTTATTGTGCAGCTGCAATATTTTCAGATTTCCATTACCTCATGCATTCGTTTGACTCACAATAATAACTTAAATTTAATGGATATAAAGCGCAATAATTACCAAAGAATGCTGCTAGGGCTACATGATTTTTTTTTATATAATTAAACTAAAAGACAAAAAAAAAAATGAGGTATTAAATGAGTCTTCCAATTGGCAGAATGACTTACTCCAAATTCAAGGTTTTTGAGTAAAGTCATTTTAGTGATATTTCTAATTGAAAAATTTACAATATCTGTACAACAAGTAAGTAAGTTGGTTGCAGAGTAAGTGATTGCAATGTTGAAACATAAAATTGTGAATAAAGGTATAAATTCCCCCACTAAAATTAATAATCAAAAATGTTGAAATTGGAGTTAGTTATTCTGTCAACTGAATGGCTCAAATTACACTTAAAAAATAAACTATACTAGAATTATTATTATGTATTGTGTATGTTTCTCATGTATTTAAAATTATTGTATTTTTTTACTAGTAAAACAAGAAAAATGATAGCAATAATAATGATAAATGTATATATTATCAAAGTACAAATTCTCAATAATTTTAATATCTTGAACAAACCTTCACAACGACTTTATTAATAGCTATACAATTTAATTTTTTGAATAGTTGGAACAAAATTTCACAAATAATTTAATTGTAAAAAAAAATTGAAATACCTGTTGTTGACACAAAATTTATCTGGACTAAAGTGTTTACAAAGCTACGCTGTATTTTTATTTTTTATTCTACAACATTGTATCGGTGAGTACCCCAAATTTTTAACCAAAACGTATAGTTAATGATTTCAAATCTCAAATATTATTTAAATAAAATATTTTACTACTATCTGGACAGTCCGATATAGGTTTTATGTATTTTTATGCATTATTTAGGAGAAGAAGGGTGACAAATCCTTATTATCATTCAAATACCTCATATTTTATTTCCTAATTACATCGGAAGCAGACGCTCTCCAATCTATATTTTATTTTTTTCAGATTTTCTTCCACTCCTGTCATAAGCTTGACAATAAAAAGATGTATTGTAACTGTTAAGGAAATTACTATTTTAGGCATGAGGAAGAATAGTAAACAGTAGTACCTCTTCCTGGTCTTTGTTTCTGGAAAGGAGATCTCCCATCCAGCTCCTCTTCAGTCGATTACTGATGGCCATGTCGTGGTAGACAGGTAAATCTGAACAGTATAATTTATTTGTAAGATTTTACAAGTTTTTTTTTATTTCAATTTTTACATGAAAATCATCAATTCAATAATTACTAATTATAGTTTGGGCAAGTGAGGAGTTAGAATTGTTTCACATTTTCTAAATCACGTTACTTATAGATCTGCATATTAGAATGAATAAAGACAGGCTATCATGCAGAGGCCGAAGGAGACGCTTAGGAGCCAAGACAAGAAAAGCTATTAGGGCCGATTGAGTGAGGGGTGGGGGAGGGTGAGTGATGCGCAAGTAGGGCTAACATATGGTGGCGTGCGCAAGCTGAGGGATGGACAGCCGTCACGACACGTCAGTTAGCGCGCACTATATCCTTCGCTAATGTGACACTAACCTCTGGCATTAGCTCACTCTGCGCTTTATCTATGCCTTCCGTAGCCTTAATTTCCTCTGAGTAGTTCTTGTACCTCGTAATTGCCTATAATAGCTCTCCTTATAAGGCAATGTTCCAAGGATTATGAAATTTTGTCCAATAATTTTCCAACACAAATCTCGATAACAAATCTGTGCAAAAATTATATTTATGGAAAAATTCTATTGAAAGTTTGGAATTTTAAAGTTCAATTTTGGAGTTCCAACCCATGATTTACAAAGGAATGTTCATATCTGCTAATAGCCGCAATAACTTAGACCATTATGGACAAAGAAAGGGAGAATAATTTGCTTTCTATTAATACCCATGAAAATTTCACTTTTCGCAAGTGCCACGGATATAATTTTATACACAATTTATGTTATTTATTTTTGCTATAATTTCTCCCCGGATTTTTAAGTAATTATGTAACGACGATTTTTCTTTATTTTTCGCAGAATAAGAAAAAAATTATTGACTATATAAAGTAGTTATAATGTATCATACATTACAAAAACCAAGAGTAAAGTTGGCCAAGTAGATTTTTTCGTTATGATAATGCAAGTTATATTATTTTTTATTATATTTTGAACCTCCTATACACGAATATTTATAGAAATCTAAAATTTTAAAATTAAACCGTAAGATGGGGTTACTTTGGGACTGGGTGGGTAACTTTGTAACAGCGGATAAAATTTAGTTTGTAATGATTCTATGGTGTATACACTCCATTGGTTCAGTCAGCATGGACAGCGCATGTACTGAGCCACTACCTTGCGGCACAAGCGAATGTTTCATAAAAAAAGAATTGTAAAAAAAAAGCAACGGAAATAAATAAAACCTAACCGCACATCGAGTATAGTAAACTTGGGTTCTCAAACTGCCGCAAGATAGTAGCACAGTATGCCTACACAAAGCACGTTTTTGCTGACTGAACCAACACTGAATTACCACAAACTAAATTTTACCCGCTGTTCCAAAGTTACCCCATCTTACGAAACGTGATTATTTTTTCCCCTACTTTATCTTAAGCATTCATAACTCTTCAATGATTTCTCCAAATTCAATGTCAGTACAATCGCTGGTAGGCTAAATTACTGTTCTTCCATCTCTCATAAATATCTTTTAGGTTCCATTAATTTTAACCCTCGAATTTAAGTTTAAAAAATCACTTTTCACTATATTATCTTCGGTTCTCCGGTTTTTATTTTTATTTTTATTTTTTTTTTAAGGAGATCCGATTTGTACGATGCTCAAGTTATCACAATTTTTGTGATCACCAATAAAATTTCTTTAAAAAATTTAATTTTCCAATTATTATATAAAATTCGTATTTAAGGTTTTTCGAGGTGCTATAATAACTACTTTGTTTCTTCCTAAAAAAAATTAATTTACATACCGGACCAATTTAAAAAAAAAAATATATATATTAGGGTTTTGTAGTGGTATTCAATTTATATATGTTTTCCAATTTAGCTCCAATAAATATTAGCTTAACAAATTGAGATTAATCTAGGATAGATTCATATAACAAAATAAATAGATATTGTGCAAATTAACTTCTTGTTTAGTTTTTGTTTGGTAATTAAATGCCTCAGCCTTACTAACAGCACATGGAACAAGCAGAAACAACTCCTTATGCTATTACATTTTCATAACTTCAGATTCAAGTAATGCAGTAAAATGTAGAATAAGTACTAAGTTTTTCGACTTATCCTGACAATAAACTTGGAAATGAATTGGCCCTTAGGTCGGAACAAGAAACAGGCGAGTAGCTCGTATCTCCCGGACGACACTAACATACAACGAACTTCTCAGAACAAGGCGGGGTGGAAAAAATAATAATTTCATTAGTTTGTGTGTATGGGGATGGGGAGGGGGAGGGGCGGGAGAGGGGCGGAAGGTGAGGGAGGGGTCGGAGGGGGTTTGTTAAACTTTACAAAGTTCCAGGTCTCCGAATTTTCTTTTCTTATAGGGACTGTTACCGTAGTGGTCCCATTCAGTTTCTCGGGGTTGAAATTAGCACGGCCAAAGACGGCTAAAAAGGCAAAGTTGCCTGGCAAACTCTTACTAAACAACAATTTCAACTTCAAATTCCTTGCCTTATCATAGACAGCTAGGATTAGAAGGATATGCCCTCATTTTGAAGGGGAGGGGGCGGAGGAGGTATAATATGAAACGGTAACTTTTGGAAGAAAACCGCCCCAACTTTGAGAAATAATGATGTAATACATAAATATTAAATACAATAGGAAGATGATAAGTAAAATTCATCTCACTTTAGTTCTGAGTAATTAGTAGTTTCTTTTAAATTTTTATAAATATTAACGGCCATTTATTAATGAACATTTGGATAAGCACATAGCAATGTTTTCAAAAAAGTAAAGTGACGAGTAGAGGCACAAGTAAAATAAATGTATGTGTAGCTTTGATGTCATCTAAAAACACCAGCATTGTTTAAAAAAAAAAATATGCCTAATAAATATCAGAGTCCGGTAAGTCGAAAATTCCTCATTGAAGATAAGCTACTATTTCCGAAATTTTAAAAATTAAAATTAAATTAATTGGTACTTTTCCGACTGTTCCAACACTTACTAGACAAACGCTCTAAACTTTCCATTAATTACAAAAGATTTATCTGCATAACTATAATAAGACCTATATGGACATACAGAGTTGAGCTTTGGGACTCCACCAAACCATCGAATTCCTATCGTTTCCAATCCTTACAATCCTAAATCCTCCGTAAAATCCTTAATGCTCCATACTTTGTCACAAATAAAACCATTCATAAAGACCTTAATGTTTCATATGTCGCTTATTTATCCCGAGCCAGATATCTATCCTTTCATGATAAACTCCAGTCCCATCCAAATCTCCTTGTTTCCACCCTTGCTTCTTCTTCGAACCCTGATAATCCTCCTAGGCAACTGAAAAGGAGATGGCCTCGTGGTCTTCTTACTTAGAATTATTTAGGGAGTGCTATCACCGGGTAGTAACTCTTCAAGCCTGTTCATGTCACTATTTATAATTTGTGCATTTATAATCATTGAATAAACAGAAAAATAAAATAAAATAATTGAAGAGAAGATTGGTTGGGATGTGCAGCAAAAAAAAAAAAAAAATTATTTTACCGACGTTTCGGCCCAAAGTTCAGGCCTCCGTTAGGGGTAAAAAAAACAGATAACAATGGGTATGAGAAAATATTAATATTTTTTTATTTTTATTGTTTATTTAAGGAAATTTACAACTATATAAACAATACAAATACTAAAAATGCACACTTTAGAAATAATGTCCAGACTTGAAGAGATACTGCCCGGTGTTAGCACTACCTATTTAATTCTAGGTGAGAAGATCACTAGGCCATCTTCTTTTCAG